AAAAAAAAAAAAAAAAAAAAAAAAAAAAAAAAAAAAAGAGCAACTACTAAATATTTCAAACTAGTCGATACATACAAGTAATTTGTAATAAGTATTGTTACAGTTAGCTGTATTTGAGTTATAAAATTAATAATGTTATGTCAGATTGATTCTCTTTAAAATCCATACTTGTCCTTCCAGTGGTGATGTCCATAGTGTCCACAGATATCCTCGATGCCAGTGAGTAAGTGGTCAAGGAACTGGGGATGGGAAAAAGCCACAATAGTTGCTGAAGAGCCTTAAAATTGTACTCCAGAATGAATCAGACTTTCTGGACTCTACTGACCCAGGTCCTCTCTGGGGAGAAGTCTCATATATAGTAAAACAGGCTCAGAGTGGTGCAAAGATGCAAAAAGTAACCCTCCATCTATTATAAATTACATCCAAAGGAACATATTACATTTACTGGATATCGAGCAAATTTCTTTTATGTAAGTAACAATTGCAAGTTTCTATATTTTGCATCCCTCCATCTACAGCATACCACTTGAATGTGAAAGTATTTGTCGTGTAACCATGATTACATTCACTCTTATACTACACTCAATACTCAGCTACATCTTGTAATTCTTGCATTACTGCTGTTACATTTGTTGTAAACACCCTCTGAGATTAGTCCGACATCATCATCATCGTTGTACTAAACAGCAGCCGACAATTCAGGTTAAAACAGAATCTATGAGATATGACCAGCAGCAGCAGCAGCCAGGTGATTGATTTGACAGGATTTCTTAACAGTGGCACCATGCCTGCTCAGAGAACTGAAGAAACACACCAATGGATTTGTTGCTCAGCCTGCAGCTGGTTCGCCAATCAGACCGGTGCTCTGACTAAGCCTGCAGATGACAGTCTGACAGTCGGTGTTGCTATGGGAACAAGTCATTAAGCAGAACTGTGCAATCTACTTCTGCTTTGTCAGGAGTAACTGATTCACATAAAGACTGACTGCCCTGAACAGTGGGGGTTAAAAGGTCTCATTTTTAAAAGCGGCAGCAATGGATGCTAAATAATGAAAAGATCAATATATAGGGATCCATTCTGTAATGTTCTTCAGCTACAAAATCCTTAACTGTGGGGTTTCTCCTTAGACCAGCTTATGTCTATTCAACACCTCAATACAGAAACCAGTACACTGTGTCCGATTTAACTCTTTATGACCACACCACATTATGTAGTGATAACAATCTTACCATCTCAAGGTGATATTTTCCTTTTCAGCTCTATAGTTATACAAACGGAATATAATTTACATTCTGATACCAATGCCAAGCCGAGAAATGTATCCCAGCAGCAATGTACTGGGAAATGAAGAAAAGCAACCAAACACAATGGAGATGGCAGAAAATGGGCTAGCATGCAGATTATTTGCCACAATATAACTTAGTGCAGAGTTTCTTCAAGCATCTCAGTGAATCTAACCTCTGGTGTTTTACAGTGAAGGGCAAGCCATTAGGGCTGCCTGCCTATTTTGCATCAAAAGCTGGTGACTCATAGATGCCTGTGTGCATGTTTGTGTGTCTGCTCATGTGCAGTCTAATTTTCTGAGATGGGTTAATGACTTTAACAGTAGGTCAGTGAACCACTGCGGTTAAAATTTCTAGAGTATCAAAAAGTACAGATACCAGACATGCTTTTGGATGTGATGAGTTTGACTTAAATCAGACAGTTAAAAGAAAAAAGGAGAAAAACTGTACGACCAAAGTGTTGGTATTATAGCACGGGTCACCAAAAACTAATTTTATGATCCAAGTGTGAATTGACAATCACTGCGTGTACATCAAACACGTTATACAACTATGCAGTACCACCACACTGTCAGTAGGTGGGAGCAACGACCAAAGTTTGAAAACCTAAACGACCTCAGAGGCCTCATCAGTTGAAAAGCATTTCACATATCCTCCTGAGAACCAGGCTATTCATTTATGTCCTCTCTAATGGGCGTTTGTTTTTGGTCTATATCTTTTGACTTATTTGAGCTACCCTACCAGGCCTGATGTACTAAATAGAGGACATCCTTGGCTTTCTCATGTGTTTGGGTGCGGCCTCTTCTAGCTCCAAAGAGGCAGGAGATTACAAAAAAAAAAAAAAGTTCAATGGAAAGATTCTTTTTTCCTCAGCTCTCAGGAGAATATTGCATAACTACCACTGAAAGGAATGTGTAACACCTTTCTTGCCAAACATATGCTTGTTAGCTTAAGTGGTGATTGCAATTTGCCCATAGGTGTGGCTACGTGGGTGCCTGGATATCTATTTCTCTGTGTTAGCTCTTACATGGACTGGTGACCTGTCCAGGTTTTACACCGCCTCTCACCCACAGCTGTGATAGGCTCTAGATTCCACTGACCCCAAGTTTGATAAGCAGCTAAGAAAAAGGACTGATTGACGGTTGGGTGGATGTTGCACACATTCCTTGCAAAATAAAGTGGCTCGAGGTGACTGTTTGGTGCTACATAAATAAAACTGCATTGAACTGAAATTCCACTAGTTCAAATAATTCCAGTATTTGTCAAATACATCCCAAAAGGTTCTGAGTCATCTGTCTGTGCAATCACTGCAATTGACAGTTGACTGCTGTGAATGGCTGAAGGCTGTACCTGGGTGTGGATCTCTTCATTAATGGAGCGTTTGGCCTCTTGTTTTTTCTTCACCGCCAGCAGCTCCACCAGGGGTTTGATGGTCATGCCCTTCAAGGAGGATAAGAGGAAGAAAACATTATGCAATGTACACACCTCCTTGCAGTGGTTAACGTGGTAAAGACAGAAACATATCTGCATCTACGCGTCTGTTCAAACAATTAAAACTTATTGTAGTGTTTTTCTAACATTTCTGCATCTCTTTGTCAAAGTCATGAAGAAGCTCCACACTTTTTAAATCAGATCAGTCCCGGTTACCGAAATCAGCTGAAGGCTGAGTAGTGTTACAATGCACATTTGTTAGAAAATCCCACAGCACATAATATTTTGGAATGTACAGGAAGTTCCAGATTTCAACAAAATCATGTATAATCATGTCTCCCTTCATCCTCCCCATCTTATAATGCCTAATAATGATTGTTTTTATGTTTGTAAATGTATCTGCTTTTTAAACTGCAAACATTGAGAAATAACTCTGACCAAAAAACAGCATCTTTCATTCTCTTAATTAACTTTCACTTAGTTATACTGGAAATGTTCTTATGTTATTATATGGCATAATTGCACCGCTCTGCACCTCGGCAGCTTGAATGTATCATTCTGCTTATTAAACAGATTAAGACAGCCATCTGGTTAACGGTAATGGCATAAACTGGATGACAGAGGATTCCTGCTGTTTAATAATACAGGCATGTATGCACAGGATTCCTTTGCCTTTATCACCTCATGTTTACTCCATACATATATAAGGACTAATATACAAGAACTTTCAAAGATGACATTCCTTTCTTCAGGGAACTTGCGATTTGATTAAAATGCTGCACTTTCACCTCATTGGCACAGCTAATCAGTGTCAGACTGGCCCAATAAGACTGATTGTATTTTTTAACAATTTGCCATCTGAGCCTGAACAAAAGACCCATTATTTTTAGTCTGAGTGAATTTTATCATGTTTCTACACTTGTAACAATGCCTGCTCATAATTACAGAAATATAACACTCTCTGTACTGTAGTTTAACATTTAACTACATTATAAACATCATGAATGTCCTACCAAACTAAATAGTTTCACGTGGCCATCTTGAATAAACAGTCATGTTTAAAACATCACTGACACCAAATTAGACATTTAGCCATGACCAAGATCATAAATCCAGACTTGTTAAGGGCTCAGTTCCTAGTGTAATGGCCACGAGGAGACAAACACAAGTAACCCAAAAAAAGGGAAATCTCATTCATATGCCGACTGACAAATAAAATAATGAAGCTTTTCACTTCATATCAGTAAAACTTCCAAATAACAATGTTCATGCAGATACAGACACAAACTAAACCTTGGAGGTAAAAGAGGCTTCTAATTACAAACTCCTGGTCTGCGCTGGCGACAGAACCAGAGTTCCAGCAGCATGAATAAAATATGTTTGAAATCTAAGTTTTAAAGCGAGAGAATGTGCTTTCAGGGTTTTATTTTAGTTGCTGCCTGTCTGGGGCCAAATAACCTCTGAAAATCTTCCTACAATCCCACCTGGAGACTGGTTTATCTGACATGGCTAAGTGATGCACCGCAGTGCTTAAAATAAACAAAACACAATGCATGTGCAACACTGAATGTGTCTTTATCTTGAATTCATGTTTCCAGAACCAAGCTTTCAGAGCAAAACTGCATGTCTTTAGACCCATATCTCTTACTCCTTCACAGTTTTTGCATTTGATCTACAGATTTTCTCACTTGCATTTGTGTTAGCGTACACACCTACAACACAAAATTACATTTTCAAAAATAGGAGCTCAGAGAAAAGAAAACAGGAGTTGAAGCTGAGGAACTGGTGTGATAAAAATAGGCTTTTTTTTTTTCCTAAGGGAGGAAGTAATAAGCCTCCTTCTGCAAATATGCTCTATGAAATATTTTTTATTTTAGTTTAATTCTCTGCATGCATGAATGGTTCCAGAAACATTTGTTCTGAGAGACTAAATTGACAGACAAACAGTACAGGAAACATTCAAACTAGATGTATTAGATGCAAATATACTAGACCAAAAGGAGCTCTCTTGCAAAGAGAGATGGACATGAGTGGGTAGAAATACATATCGTGATAACAACTGATGTGATGTCTAACCTACACTTACCAGCCACTTTTCACTGTGGCATTTAAATGATTCTCAGTTGGTATTAAGGATCCAGAGTGTGCCAATAATATGTCCCCCCCCCCTACACAACCAGCAGCACTCTGAACACTTAATACAAGGCAGGGTGGATCAATGCTTTCACATTGTTTACACCAAATTCTGACCCCATCGGCAGCAGCACAAATCAAGACTCAGACCAAACTCCATTTTCCAATCTTTGACTGTCCAATTTTGGCAAGCCTGTGCAAACTGCAGCCTTAGTTTTCAGTTCTTAGCTGACAGGAGTGGTACTTGGTGTGGATTCCTGCTCTAGGATTTGAGTTACTGGTGTCTTCCTTTCAGCTCAAAACAGTCTAGTAATTCTCCAATTTCTGGCATCAACAAAGCATTTTTGCTCCATGAACTGCTCTTTATTGGATATTTTCTCTTTCTCTGTAAACTTCAGAGGGGGCTATGTGGGAAAACCAGCTGATTCTGAATGTTAACACCAGGTTTGTCTGGAACTGACAACCATGGCATATTCAAAGTCACCATCCTGATGCCAGATATGAATTTCAGAAGGCCATCTTTACATCTTGACCAGTGCTTAAATGCACTGAGTTGCTGCCGTGTGAGTGACTGGGTAGATTTGTATTAACAAGCAGCTGAACTGCAGCTGAATATCTAATAAAGTGACCTTTAGGTGTAAAATGGATTTTTATTAAAACTTCTTACAAAAGTCTAACGCCAACTGTTTACAAGTTTTGTGAGGGGTTTTCTGATTAACAAATAAATAAATACATAAATAAATAAATAGAGTACTCATACCTGAACAAACACAGTGAAAAAAATCACAGTGATAATGGCAGTGAGGAAAATTTCCCTCTCAGGAAAGTGCTCTTTGTTAAGCAGGAAACCAAGGGAGAAGGCAATGGCACCTCGCAGGCCACCGTAGGCTATAATGAACTGATCCTTGGTGGTCAGCTTGACAATGCGGAATTTGTTGATTATAAAGGTCAGACCAACAACACCTGGAAAGAACAGTGTACAAATTAGTCAGGCTTTGTATGTCAGTGATGTTTTAAGTGTTCTAAATGCAATCTTTCTAGTGTCTTTGGATTGCAACAAAAAGAAAGGACGGAAATCTCAGAAGATTTCAGAAGAATATCTAACTTTCTCCATATCTTTCTGTGCTGTTCTAGCTTTGGGTTAACCTCTTAGGGTCAGTTAGAATTAATCTGAGCATTTTTTTCTGCTGTATGAGGAAGGCAAAACATCCACTTGAAAATATTAGGTAATTTTCATGAACACAAATCAACCAAAGTCACTGAAATATGAAAATCTATAGCAGTGACATAAATAACCTGAAAGGAAAAAAACAAAACAAACAACACTCTTCAAAATATGAAAAATGCTAAAGCATACACTGTAAAGCATTGAGCACCTCTGTGTGAACTATTTAAAAAAATATATGAATTTGGAAAAAAAAAAAAGAACAACAACAAAACAAAAAAAACCACTGGAACGATCACAAGACAAGAAGAACTTGGAACTGCTTTCCATCACAAGATGCTGTATCATATGATCCAAGTAAGATGTGTGTGACTTATGACTGATCATATATATAGTGAGAGAACCCTGCACTCACTGATACTTTCACTTTCAATGCCACCCCGACAACACACACACACACACACACACACACACACACACACACACA